TTCAAAAAACATTTTAGTTCATAATGGAGGAATGTTGATTGCAAATTTCGGGATATCAAAACATATGGATGACATAGTAATGGTTAAAGCTAATGGAATGTACGGATATCTAGAACCTCAATGCTTTTTAAATTATCAATATAAACGTGACAATAAATCTGATATTTATGGTTTCGGAGTAATTCTTTGGGAGCTTTCTAGTGGTAGACCGCCTTTTAATTACTTTAATGACCACATAGCAGTTATAGATTTTGTATTAAATGGAAACAGGGAGGCTCCTGTAGAAGATACTCCAGATGATTATGTTAAACTTTATCAACATTGTTGGGATCAAGATCCTAAAATGCGTCCGGAAATTGAAGTTGTACTTAGAGAATTGAAAGATCTTCGACTTTCTTTAACTGATGACAAAAATACTTCATATGAAAATTGGATTGAATGTAAAATTAATGAAGGGATGATTACCGAATATAAATTTAATAAATTTGTTGAATTTAAAATGATTGGCAATGGAAATTTTAGCATAGTTTATAAAGCAATATTAAAAAGTACGAATAATACATATGCGTTGAAAATAATTCATAAAAATGAACCTACTGATAAAGAAGTTGTGAATGAAGTAAGCAAAATTTAATAAATTCATTAGATAAATATTTATGCTATATACTAAAATGTACAATTTGCAGATAAAGCATATAATTTCTGTGGGATTTCATGAGAACATCATTAAGTTTTATGGTGTTTCTAAATACAAGGGTAGGAATATTTTATTCTCTAAATAATAATATTATTCATGTTATATTATTCATATTATATTCTTAATATTATTAATGTTAAATAGATCAAATGGATCCAAAGGTTGTTAAAAATGTACTTGTTTTTGAATATGCGGATAGTGGAACGTTACGAGATTATTTGCAAAACAATGCAACTAAAATCGAATGGAGGTTAAAAATCCAATTTGCAAATCAACTTGCAAACGCTGTTAAATGGTTACATAATTGTAATATTATTCATGGTGATCTGGTAAGTTTTATAATACGTATACTTAGTTAAGTTCCGCAGATAATCAATAATCATAAATATAATTATTATACTAATAAAGTGGATAATTTCTATTTCATCTTGAAAGCACCCAAGTAATATACTTGTCCATCAGCAATCTTTAAAATTAGCCGATTTTGGATTATCTAGACGAATTGCTGAATTCTCAAAATCTAGAACTACGAGTGAAATTTTCGGAGTTATACCATATATTGATCCTCAATGTTTTTTAGTAAAAAATAATAAAAATGGTGAATACAAAAGATATAAAAAAAACAAAAAATCGGATGTTTATAGTGTAGGAGTTATATTATGGGAAATATCAAGTGAAAAACTTCCTTATAAAGATGATACAGACACAGCTACCCTCCCATTAAGAATAAGAAACGGACTAAGAGAGGAACCAATTTCTAATACACATCATAAATATGTTGCTATTTATAAGAGTATGTTTACATAATAATATATCTGTAATTGATGTTTTTGTTTCTTGGGCCATATATAATTTTATAATTTTTAGAGTGTTGGCGGGGAATGCAAGATTTTCGGCCATCTATCGAAGAAGTAGCGATGGAATTAAAAGACATTATCGTTCAAGATACTGACGTTCAAGACATTAATATTCATGACATTTCAGACAATGCAAATTTTACTATTTCTGATATAAATAGCATTACAAAGTACCTTGATGCAGTCTTTAAAATTCAGGATGCAACTGACAACCTAGACAAACAAGAAACTCAAGTAACTAATGAACCGGAAGATGACATGACACTTTTTGTTAATAAATTATATTCGACTTTTAGTAAACTATTTAACGAAGGTAGATCTGTCAGCGAAATAATTATCGATTCCATATCTAAAGATGGTAAAAACAAAGAGGAAGTTTTTGATTGGTTATCTACTCATAGCGATAATCCAAAGTATATTTGTCTACTTGGATTATTTTATAGTTGGGAAATTGGCACAAATGAAAACGTAAATGTATTTAATTTATTTCTTAAAGCGGCAAATTCAGATGATATTATTGCTCAATATTTCGTTGGACGGTGCTATGAAATTGGTTGGAGCATCAGAAAGAATATGAATGAGGCAATTAAATGGTATACCAAGGCGAGCAAAGGTGGATGTGCAATTGCGGAATGTATACTGGGTGAAATTTGTTACAAACTTAATAAATATGAAGAAGCATTTATTTTACTCAAAAGTGCGGCAGATAAAGGAAACGCATTAGCGATGAATACAGTAGGAATATGTTACCAAAAAGGTTACGGAACGAATGTTGATAGGATTAAGGGATTTAAGTTATTCAAAAAAGCGGCTAAGAGGGGTCTACCTGCTTCACAATATGAACTTGGCGATTGTTACGAGTACGGCAATGGTACAAAAATAAATTTGGAGAAGTCATTATATTGGTATAAAAAGGCTTCAGATAAAAATCCTAATTATCTGAATCATGTTAAACGTGTCGAGAATAGAATTATACATTAAATAATCATCAATAACGATAAATTAGATAGCATCATGTATAGTCAGTGCTGGAAATCTTATTTTCTCATTTATTCATACCTTTAAATTTCAGAACATTGATATTCAGTAAATGTTTTCTATGATAAAAAAATTTAAGAACAAATATTCGAAAAATATGCCCTTTATATAAGTACAATAGTGTAATGCGAGATGGAAATAAAATTAGAAATGGGCAAAGTTCCGAAATTATCCGAAAAGAAAATGAATGAACAAGTAAAAATTTGAATATTTTTCGAAATAAGAAATTTAAAAATATGGATATAAATAAATTTTCTGTTGAGAACATAAATAAATAAATTTGTTCTTATGAGAACATAAATCTCAAACAGTTTTCCAACAGTGTTGTTTATATTTAGATTTTTAACTGTAATATGCTCAATTTCCTCAATTTTTATATTTTTTCCAATAAAATCAACTGTTTAATACGTTGTAAAGGGACCCGGATGACCGCGATCCAGCATTTTTCTTTTTTTTATATTGTTTTATTCTATTTTTGTCTATTATTATTATGTTATTATTTATTTTATCTTTTTTATTATTACGAAGTTGGAACAGTATACGTTATTAAAAATAGGAATTTCATACCTTGAGCGATTTTGCACCTGAGGCTATTGCACCTGAGGCGATTTTATATCTGGTGCGAAATTGCACCTAGTCATCTAAGCCCGGTACGATTTCGCACCATATTGCCCCTTTTATATTAAATTTGTCGAAATTAGATTCTAAGAACATGTTAGAATAGCAGATGTTAGTAAAAAGTATTCATGTACGCAGCATTGGTCTGAAGTATTTAAGACCTATCGTTTCGCTTCAATAAAAGAGAGCTCAGTGAGAGTTTGTAGAACTCGGTAGAGTTCGATTCATAGAGAGTCTATTATTCCGACTTTAATGTTTCGTTCCAATTACCCCCTCCCCGATAAGTCAAATTCGCATAGAATTAGTGTAATTCGGATAATATTAATATGCTAATAAAAAATCAAGTGCTTTTTGTTTGGCCTTATTTTTTTTTCAAACAAGCTATTGCTTTAATAGGAAAAACTTAACCCGAAGTAGAGTCTCGTGACGTAATCTAGAGCTCTATTTGACCCTAATAACTCGGTCCAAGTCTTCCACACCTCTTTCGTGCCTACCACCATTAGGGTTCAGTAGAGTTTAATAGTTTAGAGTATCGTATAGATTAGTTTTAGTGTTAGTTGATATCTGTACTGCCCATATTTCCCGATTCCGGATCAGTTCTCACTTTTACAACGTACGCATATGATCGTTTGCGATAGAGATTACTGATACGTATGCGATAGAAATTATAAAGATTGCCCCTACCCATTCATTGCACCTAGCACCTTGCTCATTGTCATGTGTAGTTAGTTGAATGCGTCACACCATAGTGTAGGCTCGAACTTGCTTATGCACCGCACTAAGGATGGGCCGATTGTGGTTATAGCCGTTGTCACGCGAAACTCCGCTATCCCGGCAAAACCGATCGATCTGACCTAAACAATGTGCATTACAACAAAACCTTTAATCGATTACTGTACTACTTTTAGACATAAATAAAAATACAGTAAACTTTTTTTTTTTTTTTGATTTTGCGGTTGTGCTAAGGTAGCATGATCTAGTTTATCCAATTAAAGATTGGATTTCATGCGTCCAATCACAACTTGGGGGAAATTAGAACTCCCGCAATAAATAGTGAAATAAAAAATTACACCAATTGACTATAAACTACCTACCTACGTACGTACTGTACATTATTATGCGCCAAAATTTGACACAGCATTTGTACGACGCGTATTTTGTTTATTTAAATTACATTTGGTTTATAAGGAACATTAAGTGAAAAGTCTTACTAAATTTGGAAAATTGTATTTTCATAAATACATTATGTGCAAATAAAGTTAGTTCTCCGAATTTCTCTTTTGCTCTAAATAAAATACTTGATATTTAAAACTACATCTAATATGGGTGATAATAATGAAATCGAGATAGCCCCCAATCATAATGCTATAAACTTTATGGTAGACGACCGTGGTTTACCAACTCAAATTGTAGATAGAAGAAGAGAGACCTTTTTAGGAATAATGGGAGGAGTGGGATACAACACCAATCATATTATTGGTGCAGGTTTGTATCGAAATTTATGTTTATAAAAAATTCTTTAATAACAAATTAGATTCATTATAATTATTATCAAATAGGGATTTTTAATACTGACAAAATATGGTTATTGGTTGGATCACCAGGTGTCATTTTAATATTTTTTATTTTTGGAGGCTTTATGAGCTTACTTGGCGCTTTAATATACATTGAGGTAAAAGCTTAACAAGAAAGGTTACATAAAAAAAGACGATTATCGATTAGAATTAATTGCTATTCATTTTTCTTATTTATAGCTGGGAATTAGGTCGCTACCTAAGGGAATTGGTGAACAAAGATACATTGAAAATGCGTTTCCAGGGAAAAAAAATTTCGGACATATATTTAGTTTCGTTGTAATAATGTGTGTAAAATTATTAAAGGTTCTAAAACTTGTATTTTTATGCACGTGAAATTAACCTGGTTTAATTGTTTATAAAGTATAATCTTACCCGGAGCCATAATTGCTGATTCCTACGCTTGCGCCCAACATCTTCTCTATCTTTTTAATAAAAATCCTGTTCCTAAACAATATTTTGACACGGATTACCTGTAAGCAAAAGTTTTATTAAGTGTATGAAGTTATTACATTGTAACTTATTCTAACTTTATCGAATTTATAGTGTTCAGCGTTTAATGTCAATTTTAATTTTGGCAATTATCACGGCATATAATATGTTTTCTAATAGATTATCTGTCTTAATAAATAAAATCTTAGCATCTATTAAGATTTGTGCTATACTTCTCATTTCTATTGCTGGATTAATAAAATTATCAGGATCAGATGCTAAAAATTGGAGTGATATTTTCAACTCTTCATCAACATACGTTGGGGCCTATGGCAATGGCATAATAAAGGTAAATTAATTTATATTATATCATATATTTATATCAATGTTGTTTAATGAAGATCAGTGGAGGTTGCCGTAAGTCAAAATCAATTGCAATTAGAAATTCATTAAAAGATTAAAAATCTCACAACATTGATACTTTGTACTGTACATAACATTTCCTCGATAATTATTTCCTGACACCTAATATTTAGTGAAGTAATTCTAAATTTAAATTGGACTAACTTACAGCTGTTTCTAAAATGTTGAACTACAGTTTCCATATACATATGTGGGTCTTGAAAACTGAATATTGTGAATTTCCTATAATATTGTACATATGATCTGCGACCGTTCACACCTTTTTTTTTTTGAAAATAGCTGTAATGTCAAAGATATAATTATCGAGGAAATTAGTATTACCTGAATTTATTTAAATTAAATTTAAATTTAGGTGTTGTTTGTATATGAAGGTATGTTTATGAGAATTTTTGACTAAAGATGCTGGTGAAATGGAATTAGAGTGGTGAAATGAAATTAGAGTGGTGAAATTTTTAAATTGTGAGTTTAGTGAAATTAATTTCACCAGCATTTCTATTTTTAGCATTAAATCATTAATAATAAATTAATTAATAATTATACATGAAATTCTTATTATAAATACACTCAAGGATGGAATAATATAAATTGTAAGATAACTTGTTATAATGATGTTAAATATATATATATTTTTCCTCAATTTTTAACCTATGTCAAATTAAACCATCCTTTATAGATACAATTGAAGAATTGGGAGAACCAAAAGAGGCAAAGTTGAAATATTCAAGTCTTATTAGTGTTTGTGTCTCTTTTATACTTTGTAAGGTTTCAATTTTTTAATTCATTTCGATTACTAAGCCTATCATATTCTGATTTATTGTAACTTTAATTCTTATCTAGATATTCTCATTAATACTGCTTTCGCAACATCTCTTGGACATGATTTTTTCATTGATGAGAGAGGCTTTAATCAGACTATTGCTTTCAATAACACTATTGCTCTACAATTTGGTTACAAACTTTTTAATAATAATGAAATTGGAGCAAAGATTATGTCTGCACTTGTTGCAATTTCCGCTTTCGGATCTGTGGGCGCGATGGTTTTCATGTAAGATTACCAAATTATCATGCTTAATTATAGAATATTATCGCACTGAATTAATTAATTTTTATAACTTCAATAGTTATGCACGAATTATAAAATATGCTGCTGCAACAGAATTCATACCTAAATATTCTTATTTATTTGACAACTTGAACAAGAAGATTGGTACACCATTTAACGCATTACTTGCGCAGTTTCTTTATTGTTCAATTTACCTTCTACTCTTTTTCGATCCAATAAAAGATATTTTTGAATTTTGTTCTGAAACATCACAATATTTGGCTATGTTGTTTCATGGAGCTAGTGCGATTTGCTTAATTGTGAGTTAAATTAACTTGCTTATTCTTAATTTACTATATTTGATTCAATTTAAACAAAGATTTATTAATTTTTATTAGATCATGAAAAACCACTTTGACATTGTCGCTTTTCAAATACATAAATTGATTATTGCAATTTATCTTATATTCGTAAGTATAATTGTCATTATATCATTTTTCCCACCTGCACCTGGCCAATTCGATTATTATATACCATATGTGGTATCTGTGGCAGCTATACTTATTGGAGGAATCATTTGGCGATTTCGTAATTATTTGGAAAATCTGGAAGATCCGGGATCTGAAGGATCTGAAGAATCTGAAGGATCTGATAGATTGCAATAAATTAACATAACATAGTGCGGGGTCAATATATATAAACATAATTAATGTTAAATAACAGGAATAAGAAAAACTGTTTAGAGGCCGATGCTGGTTTATATTTGAAAAATTAAATCAATTTAATAGTATTTCTATTTTAAAGTTTTTAATCTAATTTTAAAATCTATACACAATTATTATAATGAAAATTTATATTTATAGATTTATTTTTTTCTAAGAGCAAGATCTGGTTTAGGTTTATTGAATAGTTCAAAATAGTATAGGAAAAAACAATTATTTAAAATTAAATTTATAGTATAACTTAATATATGGTTGCGGTTAGCTAAAATACTTTATTAAACAGAGCATAAATTATCTGTAACGATAAAATTCGTAATTGTATTGCTTTGTAAAAAAAATTGTTATTAATTATTATAAACTAGTCAACTGGTAGCTCCTTGCATCACCTCCTTATTAATATTTCTTGCTAATTTATTTATTTATTTTAACCTATTGTACCCTAGGACGCCGGTGGCGTATTTCTGCTAATTTATTTAATAATCTGGTATATAAATTTCTAAAAACTTCCATATTTCTAGAAATTTAACTCGGCATAAATTTAAGTTCTAGGTCATCCGCCGGCTTACAAGAGTATTACCGGGTCACCAACTCGGTTATTCCAATAACTAGAGTTACAGGTAAGAACGTTGATGTTATACGACTGATTTTTCACACGGAGTGCAACATATAAAAAAAATAATTTTACAATACCAGATCATTCCGCTAGTACATGTTATGATTATAATCCAACACCATTTTTACTAATA